AGCAGAAAACAAAGGCTTTTGGAGGTTTTTCACTTGTTTTGCATGACCATTTACCTTAAAAATGGTACTTTCAAGAAGCCTGGATCAGCATTCCTTTTATTGACCTGAAAAATAAAGTCAGTGAACAAATGTGTGCACAAATTGGGAGGGAAATTTTAAGAGTCAGCAAAAAACAGGCTATTTTCACACAATCAAGAGCTACCTGTAAAAAAAAACCCAAAACAAACAAAAAAAAACCCACCCAGCATCCACGGAACAAGGCATCAAACCCCTTCAGGCCACAACCCAGACTTCAGCTGAGGGGACCTCAGTGGTTTGGGACACTACAAGGAGGTAACGTTGTGGATCACTGAAAAAAGAAGAAAAAAGTCTTTTTCCTGTGGCTGCTATTTCCTTTCCCTCAGTTTTACACATAATTAGGTCACACACAGCAGAAGCTGAGTTACTCAGTTTAAAATAAAAGCATGTATTTCTATCACCTTAGGAGTTGTTCTTCTCTTGGCACCGGCACCCTGTGATCCTCCCCCTGCCTTTTATCAGCACCTTCAAAAGAAAAAGGAAGTTATAATTGCTCTCTCCTGTCACCTTAGGAAAAATAAATAAACGGGTAAGTCTGCTGCTCATCTCCTTTTGCATCTTGAGACAAAACGTGCTTTGAGGGACCATTTATTTACAGAGCAAAAACAACATCTCCCAGATTCCAAAGGGCAGAGCAGTTCAGAAGAATAAGGACATTCTCCTGCTCCCCCTTCCACCATCTACTTATTACCACCTATTCCCTATTGCCACTTACTGCACTATCCTCATCACAGCAGCGGTCCTTACTGTCATGGTTCTTGTACGCATAAATATGGAAGCCTCCTTTTACCTTTTTTAAAACTTAATTTTTGCTGAATTCTTTAGCTCTTGATCTAAACAACGCTCCTCCGATGGTGGGAGTGATGCCTCGAATGCCAGAACTAAGTGCATCATCCAGTGCCCAAAGAGGTCACGTTCACACGTGCAGGACCAATGACGACGTTTCTCTTGCTGTTTCTGTCATTCCTTTCTACACAGCCTGATGAACTGCAGCGTCTTCAGTGCTTTTATGAACTATGCAACAGGCTGCCCAGAGAGGTTGTGGAGTCTCCTTCTCTGGAGATCTTCCAAACCCGCTTGGACACAGTCCTGTTCCACGTGCTCTAGGTGACCCTGTGTGTGCAGGGGTTGGACTAGATGACCTCGAGAGGTCCCTTCCAACCTTCAGCATTCTGTGATTCTATGTTTGAAATTAGTTTAAGTTCATAAGCTCTTGGTAGGGACTGAGTGGTACAGTTAAATAGGCTCAGTTCCATCAAGACACCAGGCTAAAAAATATCTAACAGCAGTATGCAAAATCTCCATTAGTCACTGCCCTATAGCTGTAAGAGGACCTACAGGACTGAGCTACATCTTAATTTGCCTACTATATTGTTACAAAATGCCTGTTTTCCAGGAAAAGCCTCTAGATGATGCTCTCAAAGCAAGCAGCAAGACTGTTGGAACTACAAGGGGAGTGGATCAGCCCTCTGCTCTCCACTGCCCCCTGGTTTGGATAAGCAAGTTCATAGACAGGCAGTTGAGCTGAGTGAGAGTCGCTCTTTAGCACGTAGGTGGTTGTACATAAATCCCACCTAAATCCCCATGGACACGGAGCAGCAGTGGGAGCTCAGGCTGGTGGGTGACCTGTGACTGCAGCATCTCAGAGAGGACCATGGTGAGTAACACAGATGCAGGTTTAATTACTGCCAAAATACAAATGAAGACAACCGGTACAAAAAGAAAGCCATTTATTAGATATGTACATATCTACATACACATGGCAAATGATTTTATACACATTTACACAGGTTGTTATTAATACAGTGCAAAAATATCTAAAAAGGTACCAGCCCACCTTCCACAAACTACACAGGTCTTTGGGAGCAGAAAAAAAAATTATTACCATAGAAAAGGGTCATTTTCATGACCAAAGTGGCTTTGCACTTAAATTTTTAAATTAGGGGAATTTATTCTTTGCCAATTTTTTTGTACTGTACTGCTGGGTGAAGAAATGAATTTCCAAGGGACTTATCTTGAAAACTGACAGAATTAAGGAGACACAAGTCAAACTACATTAAATAAAGTCACAAAGAATAAAAAGAAGGATTCCTGTTTGGGGATTTGATTCAATGCAGGCATATCCCACGTTATGAGTCAGATTTCATGTACTCAAACTGCAAGTCATTCTTTTTATTAAATCTCAAAGCACTGAGATCAGTGTAAATATTCTATTCTTCTTGCTGTTTTACCAGAAGAAAAAAAATTAACTGTTTAAATACCACAAAGGTATAGAAGCCATTCTAAATACTAAAATAATTAAAAAATATATATAGTGCTTGCTCTGCCTGGTTCCATAATCACAACCCATCCTCCAAAGTGCGTATATACTATTCAATGCAGATTTCGTAACATAATTTACAGAAAAAAAAAAGGTTGCAAAGGGATTAAGACTAACAATAAAACCACAGTTTGGTCCATTTAGTACAAAGGATGTAATGACATCCTCAGAGAAAGAAAAAAAGATGAAAATTACACTATGAAAGGCAGAATTGTATCAACTGATTTTGTTCGGTTTCAGCAAAACAGTCGCAGGAAAAGGAACTTAATAAACAAGAGCTGAATTTAATCTTCATCAATTCTAAATATGTCAGCTACAAGAACTAGCTCAACGCCCTGTCCTACCAGCACTTTTCCCACTGCAGAACTGTTGTTAACATGTGGCACAGGGATATCCTGGTTTCACAACAGAGCAGGCAGCCAAAGGCCAGGAGGAGCATCAGGAACGACACCACTGCTTCCCACCAACACGAGGATGAGGAGCGGGAGGAGACAGGAGTCCTCTGGCCTCACGCGCGGGTCTGTTGGTGCTGTTGGCCTTAAGGGACAGCAGACTAGCTTTATTCAAGCCAATCAAGAACCAGGAAAGCTGTCTGGGACTCAAGGGGTCCAAACTGGGAGTGGGAACACGTCACTAAGGCTCCTTTCCCAAAGTTTTATCCATTTATAGTACAAAACTCCTGATCTCTTCTCCGTGGGGTGAGATCCCCCTTCACATGTCAGAGGGCTGATACCCAGTTCAGGCTCCTCAGACAACCGAACCCACAGTCGCCAGGTCCACGATGTCCCCACCAAAGCACTGGTTTCCAGAATGAGATTTTGGGGCTGTCCTTTTCTTACCTCAACTAAAACAGGGACTGAGCCACATGGAAACTTAAAGCCTGTCGGTACCAAACACCCTGTATCTGTGTGTCCTAAGGATGGTGGTTTAGTGCTGGCTCCAGTTAAGCCCAGTTCTCTGCCACAGTCTATAACAAACCATTCTCCATGGAAAGAGGTGGAATAGAAGTTTTGCTCTCAAGACACACAGTTCTAGCTGTTTTCTAATCTGCCTGGCTACAAACATTCTTCCATTACTTCTAGTAGACTATTCCTCAGTTTAAAGCTTATTACTGGCTAGCGTGGGGTGAGAAATAACCACATTTCCCTGCTGGAAAAACTCTGTCCCCACAGGTTCCATGAGGGTTCCACTGCAGGGCTGCACTTTTGCTGCACTCAGCTGCATCACAGAATTGCCTCCAGCTGCAGAGCTTCTGCCCGTTTATGAGACACAGCATCAGGGCTTCCTGGTGCTCAGAAACATTGGAATTAAAGCTGCAGAACCAACTCACCAAGATGGAATTTTATTAGGCATTTCCGCAATCCTGCATCATGTTAATCTCTTTGCAACCACTGGAGGTAGAGACTATGTGAAAGGAAAATGTATCTTTGGCAAAAGACATTTTGTAGAGCAGGAATCAGTTTCCTATGGAATAAAAGAAAATCCAGGACCATATTTCCACAGCGATACACCTACAGTTCCCTAAAAATTTTCAGTTTGAGGCTTCATAACCTTTCATGGACAGCTGCATTAAATTAATGTGCATTCTTTAAACATAACCTAAAGTATTCATACACATCCTAAAATTCCCATAAGCACGTCTATACATTAAACATAAGAAAACCCAGTGCAGCAGAGGTTAAGAAATTCAGCTCGTAAGTACTATATTCAAAAGTGCACGCTCATAAACTCATCCTAGTGTAAGGACTTCAACACCATTAGCTAAAGGTTTTGGACGTAATAAAGAGATCCTGCCCTTGCTCTCTATTACTAGAAATGGCTTTCTGCTCACCCACTGCACATTTATTTAAGGTGAAGGAGTCACTGGCTGTCATAAGTAGGCTTGGAAGATTTATTATCTATACAGACTAAGCAAACACAGAATTGCCCTTACAGTAAGGGTGACCTTAACCAAGGAAATAAAGGGCACTTGAGCTGAAAGATCACTTACATTCACTTGGTTGGTTTTATGCTGCTCCAAGCTTATTTACAACAGCCAATGAGTAAATACCTAAATACAAAGACGTGCCCTTTTGCCAGAAGATATTCAGAGCCTTTATGGCTTTTAAAGGAGTCACAGGCTTTTTGTTTCCTTCAAACCCCCAAAGGTTATCCAGAATGGACTAATTACAACAAACTCCTCCTCCTCTTTCATTTACCAAGAATCTTAATGCTTGACAAATTCTACAGGCAAAAATGTTACCTGCCACTTTCTTTGCTTTGCTGTACAGTTTGGTATTTTTCGTAAGAACTGGCAGGACAAGACGCTGACACATTGGACTGTTACAAAGCCAGCAAGGCAGAAGACAAAACACTGACTGGGTGACATTAGTCAAGAAGTAAGAGCCTGTTTATGGCAATGAGAACTACCAACCGTTGACAACACCCGACCAAATTCACCATGCACAGTTACCACACGTCGTGGCGATACCGCTAAGTTCCTCAATGTACATTTGATGTTATTGCAGGGCCCTGGTTTATTCCAAGTTGCTTCGAACCATCCTGCTTGCCCTAACCATTGTCACAAACCTTTGAAAATCTCCCGAATTATTTTTGGCTGGTTAAATACAAGAAAAAAAAGTTGTAAAAAGAGTGTGGCAAACGCGAGATCTTTTTCATACGCCGCAATCGGGCTGTTTCTCCATCAGCTGCCGTGTCAGTATCTGATGGGAAGAAAGAGATGCTACTCCCACGTGGAAGGCTATTTGCCAGAGGTTCCGCAGTCCGTACAAGTAAATGTTGCACACACACACAGAGAAGAAGAGCACAAACGTCTTCGTCTTCCTTGCAGAGCTGTAGAAGAGGTACAAGTAACACTAGAAAAGCACCAGAGAGAAAGTTAGCATTAAACCGGGTGCATGCAAAGAAGAATGGGAGGTTGGAATAGTTGGCATCTTGGTGCCGCCTGGATGCGCCTGCGGCTGCATCATCCCTAAGGAGCTCAGAGCCTCCTTCCAGCTGCTCTGGGTCCTCCAAGAACAGCAGATTAGTGGCCTCGATCCAGCCCCTCCTGGATAAGCACACACCAAGAGCAGCCTCTCAGCACAGCCCACGTCCCCCCCGGCTGCCTCCACCCCGATTAAAATGAGGCTGAAAGCCGAGGCCGCTTCCAAAACCCCCCTGTGGTTTCTGCAGGACAGAGGCTCGGCAGGAAAACAAGAAACAATTTTCTGCTTCTGCTGTATTTATCCCCTTCATTATATAGGCTTGACTTGGTAGAAAGACCATCCTTTCTGTTACCATCTCAAAAGGGTTTTTAGTTTTTCCTTCTTCAACTCAAGAGCAGGTGGACCCTGCTTGTGTGAAGGGCTCCAACCATAGAAAACAAGGAGAAAACACTTGCAAAGTGTTGGCAGAGGAGTTATTTTTAACAGCTCAGGCTTTGTCACTTAAGGTCACAGTTTCCAACTGATGATGCTGGTGACAAGTAGGGATCATAATGGAGAAAGCACTTCACATGTGAGCACAGTTTATGCACAAGCACTTTGTGAAGACAACTGTGACACACCAAAAGGGTAAGAAAGAAGCAAAATAAAGCTTCTCTAGAAGCAGGGCCGAGCTGCACTTTGTGAAGAGTGACTTCAACCAAGTTTTTAGGTTCAGAGGTCCAGATTACTATCTCTGTTTTGGAGTTTTGCTGCAATCAGAACTGTAAGAAAGCTGAAAGAAACTGAATTGTCCATCACATGTACGACTAGCTATGAACCAAGCTGAGCATCCACAAACCAAGTGGCATCAAGCTAAGCTACGAACCCTGGGATGCCAAAAAAATAAAATAAATAAACACATCTTTGTAAATTTTGAATATTCTACATAAATAGCAGCCTCCAAATAGAGCTCCCCAACTCCACAGGGCAAAGACAGCAGTACTAAGCAGCTAATACACTGCAGGCATCATTTTATTTCCTCTTTGCCAGCTAGTAGCTGAACTAGAGCAGCTGTGACCACAGGCTAAAAATAGCAGGTTCTGCGAGCAGCACATTGCCCTCAAGCTAAAGGTTATGGACTTTTCTTTCAGGCACTTAAGGGACGTTTCAGAAAGTACCTGCTTGCACAGCAAAGACTTTTCTCATTCATATCCCTACACACAGAGGCCAGAGAAAATGATCCATTAAAGAAATAAAAATCCAAAAAAAGGCAGGAACTGCATTTGCTTGAGGCTGAGAAGTAATTTTGAATAATGATGCTATTCCATACTCCCCGAGTCCTTCAGCTTTCTATGCCAAAAAGCCCATCGCAGAATCACCCCTATTATGAAAAAAAATAAATGTATCTGATCTGGGGAACGCATCACCTTTGAGCTAACATTTATCACACTCAGCTGCACTTGGCGTGTTACAGTCAGGAAGCAACTAAGTGACGATGGCTTTTGTTAAGGCTGCCTAGCAATAATATTTATTTTAAAAAGTTTTAGCTACAAGTGCTAATATTTTAAAATCACTCTTACAGACATGAAATGCAACACACTGAATCCTAATGTGTTGTCTCCATCTCCCATCAACAGAAAATCCAAATCAGTAAATATTTAAATACTATCTAATGCAATGTAGTACTGCCCATAACTACTTCTGTGTTTATTTGCACCCCGATTTGTTTAGACATGAGCACATCTTGAACAAAAAGACCATGTGCATTCTTGCAAAGGTCTTGAGAGTGCATTCACTTCCCCTCACTTCTTCCTTCAAGAAGATCTGATTTACATTATATTTAAAATAATGCCAGAAATATTGACAGACATGTAAAAAGGAAGAAAAAGCACTGGAAACACTAAGGACGTGCTCTGGATATTGGCCCAGACCATCTTAGAACCCAAACACATGTCTCCAGGTTACTTTCAGTAATAAAAATAACACATTCCTAATATGCAAGTTATATATTAGTGTGAGTTTAATAAAATTAAATAACTTAATTTCTCATTGTCGTAATTAAACACATCAAAAATAATACGTTATAATATTAACAATCAGAAAGTGTATTGGTTAAAGTTAACATACCTGAAAAACACAGGCTATAAAAGGTAGAAAAAAAGCAATCACATTTCCAAGTCCTTCATGGTCTTCCTGTTTGGATGGAAAGGAGTGAAAAGCAAGAAACTGCATCAGCTACAGCCTGATTAAGTGCTGCTTGGTATTTCAGAACAATATATTCCATAAAGAACCTCCCATCCTGGCTTACAATGACTGGCAATAATGGTGTCATCCAGCAGCTATATCACTGAACAAGATGTCAGGTAAACCTCTGCTCATGATAATTATTGCTCAATAAAACCATGCCACTGTGCAACCAGGACCCTATTTTCACAGTTTAAAGTTGTTTACAGCTCCTTTTTTTGTTAAAATAAAAACACATGAACATCTTCGTCAAAATACTACAGTTAAAAAGAAAAAATCCTGGCCAGGCTGAAATATTTGTGCAAACTTCAGTCACACTGCAGAATAAAATGCAATGTGCTCCCCATACAGGTGAGCAAAGTCGCAAATTCACTGGCCAAACTAGGTAATTCTCATGGAAAGATGTGCAGCCTAGCAAACTATGAAGCAGAATAGCTGCCCATAACCTGGTTAACGAAATAACTTTTCTGTCCTCTCTTTTACTAGTTCCAGCTCGAACAGGGTTACCTGAAATGAGTACTCTGCTAGGTGAACGCCTCGAATGAGATTCAAAGCTCCACACATGATGTTCAGAACGAGGGAGAGAATCCCCAGTGGAGTCACACGCTGCATTCGGTACGTGGGGGCTTCAAAACAAACAAAAATGAGATATTAATGAAAATCAGGATGATTACTTCGAATCCTTTAACATACAGCAACTGAAATCAGCTTAAGAGCAAGACAAGGGAGCACCTCTTGTCTTCCAGCACTGGTAGTGGCACGTATGTCCCCGCGGACAGTTTGAGGGCTCGTTTTGGCACCCAGCCATTAGTTTCACCTGCAGTTTCCACATGCCATCCGGGGCACTCATCAGGCAGTTGCCAGAACGTAGCACAGAGCTGCAGATGCCAAGGACTGGGATGGCTTTGCTGCTGTGGAGCCTGGCAAGATGACACTGCCCAGGCCCAGGGAAACGGCTGCTCCAAAATGCAGGCCAGGAACTAAACTGGGTGCTGCAGCTCGTGGCCTCCTGCACTACTAATATTAGCTCCAAAGCTCTTTTCATTCAGGATGAGCCAATCAAGGCCGAAGTAACTGCTGGCAGTTTGCATTCCACTTTGGAATCTGCCATTTGCAATTCAGAATTTGCCTGTTTTCCCTCTCAGTGAGCCAGTTAGTCCAGCGATAAACATCACCTGCACGTACAAACCCTGCCACACTCTGCCCTTGGATGCCATGAGTGGAACACTATCACCCTGACAGTAAGACCCACCCTTGTGCAGTTCAGATACCAAATCCCAATTCTCCTCTTTGCCAATATTCATAAAACACAAAAAGGAATGAAGCACCGGAGCCCTCAAGGAGTCTCTCCAGCTCTCAGGATCTTCTGGCTCCCCTCCTGCCCACGCCAGCTGCTGCCTGCTCTATACAAACCATGCAACACAGCAGAGTTCCCCTCTGGCTTCATTTCAGGGACAAATGAACCCCCCTAACACATTAAATATTGCACTGATATGGTTTAAAACAGAAAAACACTTCTCCTTAAACAGAGACTTTCCTTATATGAGCATGTAAAAATTTTTGGTGCTAAATTAATATAGCCATGTAAATTATCTTTATAAATGTCTAAGTAATTCATCTATCTGGCATGCGTTCAAATCTGCTTTCACCTCCCAGGCTGTTGCAACAGGAACTGTATTCATCTTATTTGCAATGTGTCACGTTACGTAGCATTGCGGTATATTATTGTTAAGCACATTTCCAGGTAAATAACAGATGTAAGGATCCTAGCCACTTCTTTGCTTTTTGGCTACACAGCAAAATTCCAACAGTCCAGCAGCTGTACAAACATGTTTGTTCTTGCATTGGTCACAGCATCCACTTTATCTGTGATAAATTAAATATTGTTGCAACAACTATGTATTTCTCTCTTGGAAATTTCCTAAGGACTATTGTTTCTTCTTAAATTGCAAAGATTTACCTCAGAGGCAGCCAGTTTCTCTTTTAAACAACAGAGGACCTGTCAAGCACAAGTGTCATCCATCATACAGGACCATGCAGAACTACACTCGTCAGCACTTCCCAATACCCACTGAGGAAAAATGCAAGTCTCAATATATTTTTTCTACAGATTGAAGACCACAGCACGGAAAATTATTTACAAGTTACAAATTTTGCCCAGCAAACACAACTATTTGCTGTCACACAGGCGGAGGAAATTACAATATCTAGTTCCTCAGCGTTCACAGACTGTGCAAACTGATCTTTAAATTGTTTGCTGTGGGGTTTTATTTTTGTTATTTTCTTCTGAGGTTTAACCCACAAACTGAAATAGCACAGATCTAGTGATAATGGGTATTGCTAGAGCAAAATGATGGCCATCCTTGTGTGAATGTGATTATCTTTTTTGATAAAAAGAACTAGGGACTAAAATAGCGTATTATACTAAATATGGAAACAAACTAGTAGGGAGCAATTTTGCATTAGCAAAATTAAACAGCATTTGGCATTCAAAACTATACAAGTGTTCAGGTAGAAAAGTCATACTCTTCAGAATGCAAAAAAGAAGTTATGCAGAAGGTATTATTTTGGCAAATGTAGTTTATCTAGCACCCGGGAAAAATGCAGCTGCAGGTTTAAACAAGGATAGGGCAGTTCCACAAAAACACCCTCAACAACGATGAAACCAAAACTTCCACTTACAAAAGGTTTTCTGAGCAGAGCCCTGTGGCTATTTAGTTGACAACTGACACTACTGCCTGCACCAGGCTCCACTCTCTCCTCAGTGAATCACACACCCAAAGCTCCAGGTAAAGAGCACCGAGCGAAAAATGAAACCAGACTCAAACATTTTAAAATAAAATAAAAGCACACAAAAAAAGGAGAGTGAGAAGAGACTATTAGGTCTTTTAAAAATACATTAAGAAGGACCCTGAGAAGCAGTCTCCATGTGCCTGCAAAAGGCTCAGAGCATTCATGAAGGGGAGCATAATGCTGCATAATTTAGCAGCGTGCTTACTAGACAAAAAGCTGTTCTTCCATTTCACAGAGCCAATTCTGACAGGAAAATTCTCTCTGTTCACAGAAAGCTACTTACACTTCACATTTCTTATAAGAATGACTGCACTTCCCTTCAGAGCTTTTGCAGCTATTCTCACATGGAGACACAAGGGTTGGTTTCTGCAGCAGAAGCTGAGGTCGTGTGCATGTCGGCCAAGGACATAATGTTACAAAATCTTTTAGCAAGAATTGGGCTGGTCTTAGTTAAGAAAGACAGAATAAAAGGAAAAAAGAATACAAAAATAGCTTGTATTCCTATATATTCTCATAAGGATGAAGGCTCCTTTCACACTATAACAAAAAAGAGCCAGGGGATGAGACCATACAACTAAAAAGAAAACAGGAGTCAATGTGGATTTTTGTGTTTTTGATCCTGACTGTGGTTTTGATCAAGGTGGAATTTATCTTAATTATAGAAGGCCCAAATAAATTCTGCTCTCTTGTAGCCAGAGCACTTTGGGGGATTCCCAGCAAGTGTCCTGTAGAGCATGTTAATACAGCAACAAACCCTGTCTACACAGCTAAAGTGAGAGCAGCAGAGTGGGATTCAGCTGCTAGTTAATGATGAGAGACACAGCCAGGAAAGCCACCTCCAGCTGAGGGAAACAGATGATCATACACAGGAATCTTCAAATAAGGAACAATCTGCAAGAGTATTCGGGTTGGACCACTGAGGACAGCCGGAGACACAAAGCCAGATGGAAAACAACAGAAAGCAATTAAGAATATGGGGGAAGTGAAAACGTACTTCTCATCACTGAGCACAGAGTCACTCACAAATGTTTGTTTGGCACTTAAATCGTTTGCAGTGCTGGAAAGAATTTCTAAGGCCTGACACACTACAAAAATATTTAACCTTCCAGAAGGGTTCTGAGGAAGACTCACGAATCTGGCTTGTCATTGAGATGTTGTCATTTCTATCTAATGTTCCTCTCTCCGCTGCTCCTGCAGATTTTAATCTAAAATACCTATGTCAAATTAGATTCCAGCTCACCCATCGGAAGCTGTAAGACTGAGCAACTGGAACTTAGTTTTACTAGTGTTTCATGAGCCACCAAGGAAAGAAAAAAAAAAGAAAAATAAGAAAAAGGATATACGAGCTCATGGTATCCCAGTTGCATTTAAAGTATCTTGCTGATAGGATGAAAAGCATTTTATTTTGTAATGCAGTAAATACATCACTGAGTACTGAAGTCAAACATGAATAAGTTACCTATTTTATAGTAATTACAGAGGGGACAGAACTTTTAAGAACAGATAAAATATCAGCATTTGTTACAGAAAGTTCTTTTGTTAAGTCTCTACATATTTGTAGGCAGATCTTTGAGAGTTTTAGTCTAATTCATTACATTCTAATGACTGCAGTAAAAAGAGAAAGAGCAGGCAGTCCAAGGAGAGAGAGTCTTTTCCTTAGCTCAAATATATTCTTGCAATCATTTCCTTCCCCGTGGACAAAGTAACTCACTAAGACTGTAATTACATATCTTGTATGCTAGTTTACAACAAACACAATGAATTAACGGAGCTTTTTAAATTTTATTCAGAGAAAGAAGAGTAACAATCATCTTGCTCTTCACTCTGACAGAAAGACAGTCTTTTCTCCCAGGTTTTACATGTATAATTTAGATTTCTCAATACAAAAGGAATCACTACTGCTACATGCTTCTCTGTCCTTCACAAATCAGGAGTTTGGGAGGTCTGTGCTGTCACCTTTGCATAGTAGTAACTTACCAACCTCCACATGAACTTCTGCGTGGCCACCGTTAGTCACCCCGTTCATCAGCTCCGTGTCCTCCAGCTTCAGCTGCACCGGGGGCTGGAACTTCAGCTCCTCCTGCATCTTCTCCCAGTTGGCCCTCATTTGAGAGCTGCTTGCACGGTTAAAATGACACTTGACTTTCTGAATAACATTATCTGAAACGTTACATTAAAAAAGGGTAAGAATTGAAGTAAGAATTAGCCAGAAGTAAGAATTAGCCAGAAGCCAACAGAAGTTGTGGACTTCAAGTAACCAATGAATCAAATCCTGACTTTTTTAAAAATTTGTTTCTTCACTTCTTTTCTCATTTCATTCAGATATAAAATTTCACTGCTAATTAGGGAACCAAAATACCTTTCCCAGGTGTTTTAAGTCACACCTCCTCCCTTCTGGATGCTTTAAGTAACTCATCTCAACACCGTGACTCATCTCAACACCTTTCTTGTAAGTGGACTGTAAACAGCCTTTCGTATGGCAAGCTAAACACAACAAAATATTCTGAACTTAGGCCATGAACTAGCAGGAAGCCTACATGATGAAATGCCCTATCATATTTTAACAATGTCAAGGGTGAAATTTTCTTCCAGCACAGAGCTAAATCAGCTCAACTCATATCTGAGTCATGTAACAACCCTGGCAGAGGCAGCGAATGCACCCACCTGCGTGCCACAGATGTATATACAGATTTCCCTGCTATGCCTCCCACATTTAAATTTCAAACACAATTCAAAGACGATGATAATTTTGTTAATGGTTTGGCAGGAGCTACCACCACACTACCGCCAGGTTGCAAATCTGCCCAATAAGAAATACCTGCATCTCCTGAGCTGTAGCACCTCCACGGGGAAATTGCTGTTTCCCATTTTATTGTGCAAAGACATAGGCAAATTCAAGCTAATTCTTTTAAGTACTTAGGCAAATAAAACGTAGGAACATTCATTTTGTAAAGAATGTGAATAGAATTCCCATCCTTAAGTTACTGTCATGCTAAAAGACCTGCACAGTTTGACCACAGCTCCTACTGGATATCAAATGTATGTAGTAGCTTAGAGCACGAGTTCAGAGAGCACACAGGAGGACTTGATGTTATGCTGGAATACACACTGTCACAAGCATTCACCACCAAAAAATCCTGTTTTTTTTCCTAACTCAGCCTACTATAATAAACGTAACTCCCTGGCAGAAGGCCAAGATCTTACACATAAGTGCATCTTAGATCCAGCCAAACGCATGAAAATGATGCAGCAACATGTGGCAGACTCAGTAACAAAACATACTACGGTATTAAAAAGCAAGTTTTTGTACTTCCTTCTTTTAGAAGGGAGCAGTATGAGATTAAAAGAGGTTAGAAATTCCCAGCAAAGTTGCAAAAGGAATAATTTGGATTTCTGCATAAAGTTACTTTCCACCTCTAATGTGATCTGCAAGCAATTCACTTAAAATACAAGATGACTGTACCATACTTTCCATGTGCATTTCCCAGTCTTTTACTCTGGAACTTAACTCTGTTCCACAAATCTGGATAGAAGTATGCTAACTCACTGCAATATCTTATCCTTTCCCAGAAGAGTTTCTTGCTGCAAGGAAATAGTGTTTTGCAAAGGTGAGATGTTTAGCACAACAGCTGCTATTTAGCAAGAAAGCCATTTATATCAGGTTAAAAAAAAAAGGCAGTAGGGACGATTGCAAAGTATTTTATGAGTGTAAGTCATGCCAGAAATGAAGCTGCCCATAATAATCTATTTTGTCTCCCTATTTTCCTGTACCCATCTGTCTCCATCTGTCAGATTTTTTTGTAATTAAATTATATAGACTTTGAGACATGGATTGCCTTATTCTTCTGTGCTTGTTTATTAATCAAAGCAATGTTGTGCTCATCTATTACTGGGGCTCTCAGGAACTGCAAGAACAATAACCTAATAGTTCAATGCAGTTACAAGAGCTCCCCCTCCTCCTACACACACATGCCCAAGCTCATTTTATGATCAGGCTTTAGTCAAGCAGCATTATTTAACATCATAAAAGTAACAGACAAGGTATTTCTTACTATTAGAGAACAAAGATACTAACCAAATTCAAGAAAAGCATATGGTCTGGAAGCTAAGTTGATGCTTGTTGTATCATAGGAAGCGGCAAATTCCCACTGAAGCTCCTCCAGGAAGCAAAACGCCATGACAGTTGAGTAATTGCTGGAACAGATTGCCATGCAGGCAATATCTCCAGAGGAAAGAAAACTGAAAAAAAAAGAGTATATTTCACAGCAAT